TAGGGTAAGTTAATTGCTGTTAAAGAGCAACCTCTAAATCCTATGGCTCAACGCAATAGACCTTTATTTCTTGTTCATGGAGCAATTCATTGCAGAGTCCAGGGCATAAGCTCCTTCATCTCGGCAGCTCTGGCCTCCGTCACCCAGGACTCGGCAGCTCTCTGCTGTATCTTTTGCATCTCACCAGAAGGGGGAGAAGAGAGGGAGAGGAGGAAGGCAGGAAGGTTTTCATAGATCAGGCCTGGATGTGTAAGCATCATTCCCTCTCACATTCCTTTGGGACCAGTCACAAGGTCATCCTGGCTATCAGGAAGGCTGGAAAATGCAGTCTAGTGGTGACCAGGAAGGAAAGAAAGAGACATGAAGCTAAAATGAATGACTAGCCAGTCTCTGCAAAAATGTGGCTCAGAATAATGAGTTTAAGAGCACCAACACCCAGATACAATTTGATTTCAATTTTTGTTAAATGCCAATTGTAGTTTGAGTAATCAATGTTTAATTGTAATCATGGTGGGGCCAAGCACCACACTTATCCTGAACTTCTTTTTAATTTTTAAAAAATAGACTTTATTTTTTAGTGCAGTTTTAGATTCACAGGAAAATTAGGTGGAACGTATAGAAATTTTCCATCCACTCCGGTCCCCACCCGTGCATAGCCTCCCCACTGTCAACATCCCCCCAGAGCAGAACACTTGTTACGATGGATAAACCTACACTGACACATCATTATCACCCCAAGTCTGCAGCTTACATAAGGGTTCACTCTCGGTGTTGTACATTCTATGGGTTTGGACAAATGTATAATGATGTATATATGTTCCTGTAGTATTATGCAGAGTACTTTCACTGCCCCCCAAATCCTCTGTGCTCTACCTATGTACCCTCACTCTTCTCAACCCTTGACAGGCACTGATCTTTCTACTGTCTCCAACACCTTTCCTTTTCTAGAATGTCCTACACTTGGCATCACATAGTATGCAGCATTTTCAAAATGGCTTATTTCCCTTAGTAATATGCATTTAAGGCTCTTTTTACTTTAAAAATCTCTGGACTATCTACACTGCTGTGATTTTTAATTCTAAAGTGGTGTCCAAGAGCAGCAACGGCATAGGAAGGGCTTTCTTTCTCATCCTGTTCCCAGGTGTCTTTGGGTGTAAAGGTTGGAATTTTGTTTTTGTCCCCACCGAGTCTGGCTTAAGCTGAAAGCCAGAAAAAATCAAAGCCATTACAAATGTAGTTTTTTTGTTGATTTTTGTCAAAGATCACTTTTTTTAATGCTGTAGAGCCAAGAAACACATATCTCTAACTCATTCTAACTCAACCTCCAGCAGTGATACTTGCTATAAAATGAGTTGCTTTTTTCATGGAGAGTTGGAGCTTTCTCACTCCTAGTTAGCAAGTTTAGAGTCCTCTTTGAACTCAAATTGCAGCCCTGCCTCTGACAAACAGTAAGTGGAATCACTTTACCTCCTTGAGCCCCTCTGTCCTCTATGAGCTGTCTGTCTGACAGGGTCGTTTGAGTTGTAGCCAACTGAGCCGTAGGGACATATCGTAAGTGCTCAGTAAAAGGTAGCTGCTATCATAACCACATCCTCTTTGCAAATGCCTGAGGCCTTCTTCTAGGACCTAAATCTCAAAACGTGGTTTAAACACAGCAGAACTTACATTTAGGGTAGAGACAGCCATAGTCTCTCTACATGCTTTTCCCCTCTTCTCAGGGAAAACACATGCAGGGAGAGCTCCGATGCAGGGAGAGCTCTGATCCAGGGAGGAGCTGGGACTGAAAGCAAAGCCTGGAAGAAGAGGGGGGAATTCAGAGTGCTTTCGCCCTTCCCCTTTGAGATCAGAGGCTGCCTTCTGAGCCTGTCCCTGGCTTCTTCACCTGCCAGCTATGCAGTAACACAGGAGATGCAAGATCAAGATCCAGCTCTGGCCCCCACTTTTGAGCTTGGGCTTGAGATCCATCTCATGGTGCCTCAGTTTCCTCTGGAGTTAGGTGGGAAAGGGGGTCTGGGCCCCTGACTTTCATGGTCTCTCCGTCATTACCATTTGGTGTTCTTAACCCTGGGCTCCTTCCTCCTGCGCACATTTGATGAGCAGACCAGCCCTTGCAGGTCTTGAGTTGCCAAGCTGCAGGCGGGAAGCAAAGAGCAGGCGGGGGTGGAAGAGTTTAGGGTTGCGTGGAGTCCTTACTTTCTCCTTTGCTTTCACAGACACTGAGTCTAGGATTCTCGTGCTGAAAGGCTGTTCTAACATCAGTGACTCCATCTGCCAGTTCCTGTCCGCTGGAAACCAGACAGTCGGAGGGGTCATCTTCCAAACGTTTGAGTGTACAAACGCCATCTTAACCCCCACTTCTACACAGCCTGCAAATGCCTCCTTAAGCCCCAGTTCCAGTCCGGCTACAAACACCTCTTTCAGCCCCACTTCTATACTGACTACCACCCCCAACACGGGCTCCAAGGCCTCCCTTGCCTCCTCGGCACTTGCCACCCTCCTTCTGTTGGGGCTGCTGTTCTGAGATCCTGGTCCTGTGCCCTGCCCAGCACCCTGTGGGATGCCACCACCCTTTTTGCCCTCATCCCTCCCCATGTAACTCTTAATGAGTGGGAGTCACAGGACCTCCAGATAATGCCAACAGCTGTGTTGTTCTCCATTATTAAAGCATTGGTTCACTTGCTGGCCCAATATGTCCTGATATGTCCTGGACTGGGCTTCATTTGAGCCACTTTCCAGCACTTCCCCCCATGTTCAAGCTGGGAATGGAGTTCTTGCCTTCAAAATCAGTGCACATTTGTCTTTGGGCTCAGAGGACATCCCAGCTACCTGCCCACGTTTCTTCTAAGAAGCTGACCTTTTGACCTTGCTGACATCTGCTTGCAGCCCTGCACCTCTGGGGACCAACGTGCCACCATCCCCACCTTCATACACAGGGTATGCCCCAGCCATGCCCCATAATGCCCTCTGTTGACCCTGGCACTAACACAGAAGCTCCAGCAACCCTTCAGTCTTGTCCAATATATGGCTCTTCAACAATTGTCCTGGCTGTGGTCAGAGGCCCACAGTGAGTGAAGAAAACAAGAACATCATCTCTGGGTCCTATCACCAAGGGGCCCAAAGAGGGTGTGGAAGGGCTGCTGAAGATTGGCATACTCCCACTACCTCACAGCCCCAGGCAGGGGCAACCCGCAGTCAGGCAACCAGCAGTGGTGGGCCCTGTGCACAGACTAAGGAGGTTTCCCGTAGCCTTGTGCAGAGTGGTATGTGGCTATGAGCCCCAGTTCCTCCCCTTAGGGACCTTACAATCCAACACAGAGTTGTTGACTCCATATGAAACATCCAGGAAGCAAGAAAACCATTCAACCTAATATGTACAAAGGTACAGGTTTATTAAATAAGGTGGGCCTAGAGCTAGACTGGGAAGAATGGTTTGGTTGGTGTAATAAAAAAAAATTAAAGGCATAAACCAATGTGGGTCTTTATTGTTTGGGACGTCTGACAACTTGTCAAGAGCGAAGTGTCAACCAAAGTGAGATGACCACCTGGTTGAGATTTAAAAACAAAGAGGGTTTGTTTGAGAGCTCACTAGGACTGTAGCCCAGGCACAGCTTCAAGAGGCCTTGAAAATGGGCTCAGCAGAACCAAGGGGTTTGAGCATTTAAAGGAAAAGGACTGTGCAAAGGAGGGGGCAGTCACAAAAGCTGTTCGCCAAACGTCGTAATTGGCGCTGGCGTATTTTAAGCAGTCTTGTCCATACGGGATCGGTCGTAGCAGTAACTACTAGGTAAAAACTGGTCTTAGGGTCACAGCAGGCTGTTTCCACAGCTGTGTTTGTAAAAATTTCTTCTTGGAGCAGCTGCTCTGTTCCCTGAGTGCTTTCTCTTCCTGGCCCCTCAACTCCAACTCTAGTTTGGGAGAGACAAGAATGACCCAATTTGTATAACCAACTTTCACAAAAGCCATCCTAAAGGCCATCTGATGGTAATTCATCACATTCATGCTTACTTATTGATTTTAGCCTTTTATTTTGAAACACATTTTTACTAATGTCCTTTTCCTGGTCCACAATTCAATTCCGTGCATTTAATTGTCATGTTGTCTCTGTCTCATACAATCTGTGACAGTTCTTGAATCTATCCTTCAAGACCTTGATAATTAAGACTATTGTGCAGTTATATTGTAGAATGTCCCTCAGTCTGAACTTGCGTGAAGTTCTCTCATAAGACTGAGGCTATACATTTTTGGCAAGAATACTATAGCAATGATGGTCCCTTGTTGTAGTGTTCTTGTCAAGAGGTACACCATGTTGGTTTGTCATATTATGAGTGATGTTAACACTTTTTCCCCCTAAGTAATAGACTTTATTTATTTTTTTTTTCCTTTTTGTCATTTTTCGTGACCGGCAACGGATCGCAACCCTCAGTGTCGCGCCTGTACCGGATCGGGACCGCCAACGGGATCGCAACCCTCAGTGTTGTACCCGCACCTCGCTCAGCCAGTGAGCGGCCGGTCTGTATGTGGGATCCGAACCCTCGGCGGGAGCGCCGCCGCGCTTCTCAAGCGGTGCACTGTAGCAGTGCGCCACCGGGCCGGCCCCTAATAGACTATTTTTATATCAGTTTTAGGTTTACAGAGAAAATGAGCAGAAAGTACTGATAGTTCCTATATCCTTCCCACATACACAAACACCGTTTCTTCTA